CACAAAAGGTAGGGCAGCTTTCAGGAACATGTGGTGATATATTGTGTACCCTAATGAAATTTGCCTGAAGATCAGAGAACAGAACAAGCCACTTGATGCCAGGCAGTGGTGGCACACACCTTTAATCCTAGCACTTGGGAGGCAGAGATCTGTCTGGATCTCTGTGAGTTCAAAGCCACCCTGGACTACATGAGATTGACTCAGTCTAGGAGAGAAACAGCCAGGTAGTGGTGGCACACACCTTTATTCCCAGTATTGGGAAGCACATACGCCTTTAATCCCAGTACTTGGGAATCACACACCCTTAATCCCAACACTAGGCTGAGCAGAGAAAGGTATATAAGGTGTGAGGAGACAGAAACTAAAGCCCTTTTGGCTGGACCCCTTTTGGCCAAGGACTCAGAGACATTCAGTCAGAGGATTTGTGGAGTTGGTGAGGTAAGAAGTAGCTGTGGCTTGTTCCTTTGTCTCTCTGATCTTTCAGCATTTACCCCAATATCTGGCTCTGGGTTTACTTTTTTTTTTTTTTAATAAAAAGACCATTTAATATTTGTGCAACAGGGGCCCAAGGTGCTTTTCTAAGAAAATACTCCAGAGGGGTAGATCCTGCCAGACCAGGATAGGATCCAGGGAAACAAATCCATCAGACTGTTTTTATCTACTAAACCTAAGTTGTCAAGCTTTGGCCCTACAGACAGAGCTCATCACACATGCTTTTCCTTCTAGGTTCTTTTCAGCTAGTTGAACCCAGATGAGAAGCACACAGGGTTCTGACACACCCACCCATGCCATACAAGCACACATGTGTGCACACAGCACAGATGCGTACACGGAGCCCACTTGGAAACATCCTCTATAACGCTTGCTGTAACGTGGTTGTCCAGTGGGAATACAGCATAGGTCACATAGACATTTGGTTTCATGTTGGTTGTTGCTAGTGCTAAGTACCTTTGTGTGTCCACCTGTGTCCCGCCATTGACCAAGCCCCTGACTTTCAGGGTTCTTAAAAGCACTTAAAATACTGTTCAAACTAGCTATAATTAGCAAGCCGACTGTATGAACACTCACACTCATTCCACATAGATTCCTTGTTGGCACGGAGCAATCCATTACCTGCTTCAGTGAACCGTCCCATTGGTAATTTGCAGAGTTCTCACCCCTGGGTGATGGAGTAAGCTGCCCTCTTCCCAGGCACTGGCTACTATTGTTTAAGCCAAATGTATAATGCATGAGAGAAGTTGGTATATCAAACATTCCAGACAGGGTGCTTAAATTCTAGACCAACTGATAACATTCACGCTGATGGGGCTGGGAGGAAAGGAGTGGGAGTCTTATTTTGCAGGGCTAGTTCATTGAGGTAAAATTCACACACCGCGCAGTTCACTCAAGGAAAGTACATGACTCAATGACTTCAGCATAATCACAGATCTGTACAATCCAGCACTATAATCCATGTTAGTATGTACTGATTACCCTATAAAGAAATCCCACACCTATGGGCATTCACCTGCCATTTCCCATGAGCTTGGTAGCACCCAGGAACCACTCATCCATCTACATGTCTGTAGATTTTCTCCTCTGGAGATTTCACATAAGCAGAGTTGGATGGCATGATGGCTTCTTTTACTTACAGTAATGTATGTAAGTCTCGTCAGAAGTGTAAAGTGTGTTAGTGGTTTTTTTTTGTTTGCCAAGTAATATTCCATTTTTATAGATATGCCTCATTTTATTTAACTATTTGTGAGTTGATAGACATCTGGGCTATTTTGACTTAGAAATTTATAACTTGTGATTCTTTATAAGGTGAAGTGGGTGTGAATTATAATAACTTAGGTATTATTTTAGAGGTTTCCTAAATCTTTCCTAAGGATTAGAGCTAACTATGTCACATGAGGTTATAGTTGTAATATCCAGCTGATCAAATGAAAAATGAATCAAATGAAAAACTAAAATTTGGAGTATTTTAAATACTCCAAATGTAAGATAAAGCAAACCATAGGCATGAATAACTACACATACACGAGGAAACATATAGTCAATCTCATTTTTTAAATATGTGAAGTTTCCCTATTTCTCTCATCTCTCACCTTCACTACACTAAGCTAGACATTGTTCTCAATCATTTTAATCTTAGGTACATTACTCCTATTGTATGTCACATGTTATGTCAAGTCATGAGATTAAAATGAACACACCATAGACATCAGGACCCAGAGAGATGGCTCAGCAGTTAAGAGCTCTTGCTACTCTTAGAGAGGATCTGAATTCAGTTTCCAGTACCTACTCAGGCGACTCACAACTGGCTGTCACCCCAGCTCCAGGGGACCTAACACTTTCTTCTGGTCTAGTGGACAACACTGCCAGTCCACAAACCCACGTATACAGATATACATATAAGTAAAAATCTGTGGCTGGAAAGATCAAAGGTCCTAGGGAAGAACCTATTTCTATTACTCTGCTGAATGGATGTAGTATTCAGTCGACTCTTAATGACTTACTGTTATACCTGTAGATTAATGCATTCCACACTGGTCATTAGAGAAGCTTCTATCTGCAGTAGATGGTGATTGACACAGAAACCCACAACTGGCCAAGGTCCAGAAAAGAAGGGACTGAAGAATGCTCAGCCTTAACTGGAACACACTCTTCCTCCAAAGGGCCAGAGATCAGTGCAGAAAAGGAGACAAAAGAGTCAGAGCCAGAGGCGGTGGAGGACCACAGGGAAAGTGTCTTCTGGACACAGCAGGGCAGCTGCACGTAAGAATTCTTAGTGGTTGTGACAGTACACACAAGACCTGTGCAAGCGTAAGCTCGAGCAAGCCCAGCAGGAGGAACAAGGGTATGAAATCCCATCCCTAGCTGTGACGCTACCGGCAATTGTTGGCTGCCGGGAAAGGGAGAGGCAGGCTTTCTCTACGTGTGTCTCCTTTAGTAGGTTGAGTACACTTCAGCGGAGGACCACATGTCCAAGGATATTTGGGTGGTCCAAATTGGCAAAAAAAAAAAAAAAAAAAAAAAAGACACAAAGTTTGGTGGATGAATTTGTGGACGGCAGAACTGGGAGAATGGCGGTGAATGTGATCAAAACACGTTATGTGAAATCCTCAAATAACTAATCAAAATTTAAAACCAAAATTTAAAATAAAAATGTAAATCAATTAAATTCAGTCTTAGAAATCATCAGACCTGGGTAATAAAGGGGAGTGGATTTTAATGAAAGGATCTAGGAGTTTCTTCCTTAGTGGGCTTCACAGCTATTCCTCTCTCCTAAGGACTGTCTTTCTGCCCAGGGTTCAGCCTTTAGTTAGCATAGTAACAGGTCTCTCATAACAACGTATGTTTTTCTTTCCTAGAGATGGCTCATAGAGGACAGCCAGGGTTGTTACACAGAGAAACCCTGTCTCTTAAAACACATACCCATACCCCAAATATGTATATGTAACGAAATATATACCGTATATATTTCAAGTCAAATATGATTCTCTGTTGTATTTTGGTGCTTTGAATGAGAACCAAGAAATCCTACAAAATATATGAACTACAGTGTAAAAGGCTTTGAGAAAACCCCAGAACATTTTCTACTTTAGAAATGCAAGCTCCCTCTGCAAAATGCACGTCCTGACTGAGTTTTCCTGCTTTCCTAGGTGAAGGGGCACACTTCTGGGCTTGTGAAGGAGTCTAAGTGAGTACCATCGAGGACCAAGCCCTTGACTCCTGGCCACCACTGCCAATGGCAGCGTGGGTGTGCTGTCATAACCGGAGCTGGGCAGCAACAGAGCACATGTGTACATCTCTCAGAGTGATTCCATGTCGTCCCCAGAACGGTGCAAACTGGGGGCTATTTAGCATGAACGTGCCGAGAAAGTATCTTTTTATGCTTCTTATCCCCCAACACAGTTGAAGACGGCTTTGGTGTGTGCCCTGCAGGAAGGAAGTCCGTTCCACTGGTGGGCTCCGGGCATCTATTTTGTTGCGTTAAGTAACTGAAAATCAGAACCAAACAGGGCTTTCTTTCAAAGTCTGAGGAAACTGTCTCACAGAAGCCTGTAAACTCCCGAGTGAAGACTGTGGGGCCTTTCTAGAAGATTCCACCACACCACCGCACTTTTGGCTTTTCACTCATCTAGAATTTTTAACTCTTGTTTCTCATCCCTACGGACTGCATTTCCCTATCAGATCCCATTGCAGGGTCTCTTGCCCTGATAAGTGGCGTTATCTTAGCCCCAGGGGTTGTTAGAGTGGCCTGGTGTGGGGGGGGCTTTGTCTCTGTCTCAGGCCTCTCCCCTCTCCCCTCACTTGAGGAAGCTCATCTGCTTCCAGGCCTGATTTCAGCCCCTTTGAAACTTCCTGCTTTTCCCCTGGAGGTGACTCACCAGCCTCTGAACTCCCCCAAGATCTTGTCTCTTCTTTTTATGGCCCCTTCTCTGTTTGTGCGCCCCACCCCTCCCCCAGCACTTTTCAGGAAATCGACAACTCAGGGCAGAAAAAAAAAGAAAGAAAAGAAAAGATCCCTGTCATATCCTCAAGGCATGGGACGCTTAGTCCTGATGTATATAATGCTCATTAAAATTTGTTAAACGCAACTGAGGTTTTCAGTGCATACTGTCATACTCGAGTCATTTTTCCTTTGGGCGTTAATTCTTTGTGACACTTCATAGTAGTCTGGACTTTGGGAACCAAACCAAGCACAAAACAACATGAAAGAGCAGCCTCCTGTTGGGACCTGGGAGCTCTGGGGACCCTGCCTGGTAAATGAGAACTGATCTATATCCAGCCTAGAGCCAGGCCCTGGGGGGAGGGGCTCTGCCACACTGGTGGCAGGGCCTTAGTCATCGGGGCTACTGTCTTGGTGCTGCAGTAGCTGGACTGGGCTTCAGTCTTTATGAAGTCGTTTTCACCTTATAGACTTTCTCTCAGAGGTAACCATTGACAGTCTCTAGCATGTCAGGGGTGACGACACGTGCGGCTAACATAAGGCAGAAGACTCTAGAACCCAGGGGGGGCTAGTAGCTCAGTCCTTGCGGCAGTGGGGGCCTTTGTGATTGTAAATGGATACTAAGTGGAAGTGGAGCCAGTGGGTGCTTGGTTTTCTCCCTAGTGGTCTCCCAAGGCCCCAGGCAGTGAGTGAGCCTAGCACAGCCTCCCGAGGGCCCCCTCTTTGCCTCAGCCAAGGGAAATTAGAGATGCAGGTACATGTTACAGTGTTGGTGGCAGCCATCAAACTGCAGCAGGTTTAAAACGCCTTTGTTTTCTTTTTGAGACAGGATCTTATGTAGCCCAGGCTAGCCTGGAACTCACTAGCAGCCAAGGATGACCTTGAACTTGAGATCCTCTGCTTCTGCCTCTAGAGGGCTGGGGTATTACAGGCCTATGCCACTCCTGGCTTAATGTGCTGTCCGGGGGACCAAATGTGGGGCCTGTGGGCGCTAGACAAGTGCTCTACCAACTGAGCCACATCAGAGTCCTAGAAATTCTTTAATGAGAACATGGAAGTCTGAGGCTGGCGGACATGATGGCCTCACTGGAGGGATTTCTAATTTCATCGTTCCTATTGTTAAACTTTTGAGCCTGATACGTGTGTGTGTGTGTGTGTGTGTGTGTGTGTGTGTGTGTGTTCAAAACCTTCCCATGTCTAGAGGACTCAGTCTTTTCTATTTCTGAAATTTGGCTGCACCAGATGCTTGCAAATCAGTGCGCCCTCTGCTGGGCAGAGATAATCTTTTCATTACACAGAGTTTCTGAGAAGGCTGTTAAAAAAGGGATTTCTCTGGCAGCTGAACTCTCCTGCTTCTTTTTAAGAAGTCCTCTGGGGGCTCTCCTGAGGTTGGGCAATGACTTCTGTGAGAAGGGTGCTGGTCTGGGGTTTGTTTCAGTGCCTGGCACACTCTTCTAGTGTCTTCCTTTATGTTGGATGAGTGAGAGTCTTCTGTACTAGATGATATCGAAGTTGTACTCAGTGTCTTGTGGGTTTAACCTCTACCACGGGCGTTTTGTACCGAGAGGACCATATGAGAGCATCAGAAGCTCCATGGGGGCTCCGTTTTGACTACTGTCATTGCTCTGTGAGGTGGGGGTCTTGATCCCCATGGCACCCATGAAGTCAAATGACGATACTCCATACAGCTGGAAAACGGAAATCTTTTGAAGACAAATCTTGTAGCTCTAAGACACCTCCATGATACAGGCCACACACACACTGAGGTACAGTGTTAGCAAGTGAATGGTTGACTAATGCTGTGCGAGGAATTCTTAGTACCTAGAACGCATGCTCCTCAGAACATCACCGGCATGCAGACTAACGCTGTGTGACTCGGGGTAAGACTGCTAATATCTCTGTTTCAGCTTTCTGATAAGAAAAAAGAGGATGACTATTCCTCTCTCATTAGATTGTAAGATAATGAGTATAAAGCAATTCGAATATAGCATTAACTGCTATCTACCTGTTCATTATTAGCAATCAAATCTATTGGTAATTTATTTGACAGTGTTAGGCATATGAGGCTGATATGTGAATAAATGCTGGGTACACACATCTGAGTAAAAGTCTCTGGAAAACTCTCTCCTGAGCCCACTTGTCTGTTTGGCCAAAAGAAACAGACATTGATCAAAATCACTGAACCGAGCAGCTCATATTTGGGGGTTGCCTGTACTGCTTGCTGCTCTGTGACTGTTCCTGATGATGGCAAGTGTAAGTCCTTGAGGTGGACGGGACTTCACGAATGTCCTGGGACTTGAGGGGCATGGGTGATGAGGAGAGCGAGGTGGGTGAGTGAGGCCAGGGATCAGGGCCTCACCCTCAGAGAACTGCCTCACTGAGGCTGAAGACAGTTTGGCCGTGGGTCCCTGGATCTGCTTCAGTTATGGTCAGAGTTGGAAGGAGCTATTGCCTTCACGCCAGGGCTCAGTTGTGATGTGAGTTGGAAGACAGAGGCCAGGTTGCTCAAATCGGTTAGTCTTGTTGTGCCATAACTGTGTGTCACCTATGAAATGCTCGATGTGGGGAGGTTTGCAGACATGAATGTCTCTCTCCTAGCACCACGGCATCTTCTGATGGCCAGAAGATTTTTCTGTCTCTATTCTGGTTCTCTGCCCCATGATTCTTCAGTTCATGCTCATTGTTAGGAGGGCTCAGCGTATCAAAATCATGTCAGCAAGCAGCTTCAATGGGAAATTAGGACAAAACCTGAAAATCTATGTTTTGACCAGGGTAGAGCTTCTCTGGCGGCCATGGCAATGCTGAAAGAAGACAACAGACACTACCAAGGGCCCTTCTGAGTCTTCTGGGCTCAGGAGGGTGGGCCATGCATAGCTTTTGATCTAGGCAAATGGGGACTGTGCACACTTTCGTCTATACAGATGGGCCAAGCATGTACATCCTTTTCTACACGTGAGGCATTTCTAGGGTGACTTCCAAACCAAGATCTGTTTCTTCATTTCCTCGGCCTTCACACACACACACACACACACACACACACACACACACACACACACAGAGACAGACAGACAGACAGACACATGTGTGCACACACATACTGTTTCAGCTCTGAGTCTACCAGCAAGCACAAACTGCCATCATAGAGAAAGTCCTGGAGAAAGCCTGTCTCTGGCATTAACTCCTGGCATGGGTCAGCCAGCGCCCTCAGGCCTCTGGCCTCAAAGCTTACAAGGAGACCTGAATGAGAAGGAACTTTCTTTTGTTCCTGACTTGCTAACAGAGATTCCAAACTTTGGGAGAATTTTTGTATTTAAAAACATTGGTTCAAAATTCAATGTCTTAATAAATGAGTTTAAAAAACAGCAGACAGTTGGGGGATGGAGGGGCAAAAGTGAAGAAGCATCTGAAACCAGAGCCTTTTTAGCTGATTTAAACACTTCTTTTTCCTTTTTTCTTTTCCTCTTCTTTCTTCTTTCTTTCTTTCTTTCTTTCTTTCTTTCTTTCTTTCTTTCTTTCTTTCTTTCTTTCTTTCTTTCTTTCTTTCTTTCTTTCTCCTTCCTTCCTTCCTTCCTTCCTTCCTTCCTTCCTCCCTTCCTTTCTTTTTTCTTTTTTTGGTGAAGAGGGAGTGATGGGATTGGAATACAGGACCTTGCTCCCATTAAACAATCAATCTACCACTGAGTCACATTCCTTTACACATTAAGTTGAAAATTTAACTTAGGTTTGATCTTGACCTTGTGTCTCTGTTTTCCTGTTGGTGGCTTCCAGCTTGTCAGGTAGGGCGTGCTGGCTTTCTGGCTGCCTCACCTGGCATGAACAAATAGGTGATATGGAGCACCCACTGAAAACCACACACAGGCAGGAAGGATGATCTGCACTTTAACAAGGCAAGCGCATGGCGAACGACACAAAACACCCACATGTGCTGACATTTGGGTGCACACCGCTGAAAATTCTGAACTCTGACAAAATGAAGCGGCATGGCCTAATTTTCTTGATTAGGGAACGGGTGTTGGTCTGAGCCTTGCTGCTGTGAAACTGTCTGTGGGCTGGAGTGTGTGTGTGTGTGTGTGTGTGTGTGTGTGTGTGTGTGTGTGTGCGCGCGCGCGCGTGCAGGTGCTGGGCACAGCCAGAGGTCTGCAGTTCTGGCTCTGCACCAGGAAAGAGGCAGCCCAGAGCCCGAGGTGCGCCCCTGACAGCAGGTCCTCTCGGTGTGTGGAGCACTCAGGTCTTGCCTGCTGGACACACATGAGGGGGGGTTGTCTCCGGCTGGGGGTGTCCAGCCTCTGTGGCAAGCCCCCAAGTGCGTTAACAACCGCAGCAAAGGATACTTTTGTTTCTTTTTCCGTTTGGCACATGAGAAAGCCTTCTCTCCTTTCCTGCTTAAATATACACAAAGGGCTCAGTATACTTAGGGGGTCAGGTCCAAGAAAAGGACTTGGAGAATTTTAAAGGAGTTTAATCTGACAATTGATGCTCTAGTTAATTCCTAAATGAATAACTGATTAGCTGCACGTTTTCCAGGAAATCACAGGGCTGCATCATGACATAATTCCTGATTACGTACCGTTTCATTTTATCGCAAAGAAGCACATAAAAGCCGAGCATTTCCAGCTTGGCTCTCGTTTCCTTCCCTCGCATGTCTGGACTAGCAATTCGACATCCTTGCAAAAGAGAGACTGGGCTTTAATGTTTTAGGAATGTTTAAGTGGTTTGAATCATGGGTTCAGACCCCGCCAGGCTGGAGATGTTTGCAGTGTGCCATGGTGTCCTTATTTTTAAAGGAGAGAAAGAGAGATCCACTTGTCTGAATTTTTCCCCTTAAAATGCTAATTAGGATGGCAGTTAGTAGCCATTAAGTGGTGTTTTATGATGTGCCCACCACCCACAGAGGACTTTGAGCAGAGGATGGCCCTCTGGCATAGGAACAGCACTGTTAGGTGCTGAGAGCAAGCATCTAGTGTTTAGTTTCCTCTGGGTGCCTGCCTCTTAAGAAAAATCAGAATTACAGATATTTAAAAGTGACCAGTGTTAGTCCCCAAACCATGAAGATAACAGGGGCCCTGTGGGAGGCAGGGCTGCCCAGACTTGGGTGTCCCCTTTCTTCCTTTTGTGACATCCAGGTTCCCATCTTGTCAATTT